AAATGAATCTTCTATATCTTGAAAAGCCTTTCAAATAAGCAGCAATCAACATTTTTCTACTTCATAGGCACTATTAATTACAGAATTGACTGATGACATCTGTTTGGCTGTACACATGTGAGAGGTTAGCCCTAGTCAATGAGATCTTTCCAAGTAATATTCCATGGATATGCCATTTTAAAATATAACAAAAATAAGATCTGATGAAAAAAAATTCTACTTCCAAGCCCAAAAAAACAAATCTTCAACAAGGCTCAAATCACTCTCTGATAAAACCAAAACATCAGGGCTGCCAATGGTTGCATTACAAAGTAAAAATAGCTACCCTTACATTTGATTTTCTTCACAATGTTTTTTTTACCTCACTTACATTTAAAATCAAATCCCTTTGTAATGTATTAATACAAATTTTTTCACGATCTATTTCCTTGTGGACAAAAAATGGTCCTTCCCACTCATTACAAATGACGTCTGATCCCCTGTTTCAAAGATACTATTGCAACAAGGTAGCAGTGTCATAAGAAAAAAAGACACATTCACTTTTGCCACAAATTTGAAAGGCAGCATTCTTGACCTGTTAGGGCTAGAGCTGTTTTCAATTGAGTATCGCAATACCAAAACCAAAGCAATTACTTACCAATTACACTACTCAGCCAATCTTAAACTGCAGTAAAACCAAAACGAAAGTAATTATCTGATTACTTTCGTCACTCAATTGAAAACAGCTTTATGCAAGTAGATGTGTAATGATCACAGAGAGATTTGTTAAGCAGCAGGGAATCACTTGGCTTGGCTAATTATCACAATTTACATGTACAAGTTTTCTCCCATCTTTTGACCAGTCTTGCCAATTTATTTTTCCATCACATTTCTTTGACATGTCACATCTAAGATTCTGTGTAACTGAGTAATCCTGAGTAAAATTCACCATGTACATGAAAATAATTCTACATAATTTATATTTTAAGTAAAGTAATACTAAGCTCTCGTAAACAATCATATCACTGACCAGTGTTCCTCC